TTTTTTTTTTTTTTTTTTTTTTTTTTTTTTTTTTTTTTTTTTTTTTTTTTTGCGCACTGGTGTCCAGCGCACCGCACCCCATGGCACACCGCACAATTGCGCCGCAGGTATGGTTTCCAATCATGACACTAGGGCTGTGGTGCATCATTTTGTGTTTTTGTCTGTGTGTGTGTGTGTGTGTGTCTATTTCTGTGTGGTTTTGTGTTTGTGTGCGTGTGTGCGTCTGTCTCTTTCTGTGTGTGCTTTTGTGTGTGTTTGTTTGTTTGTGTGTGTGTGTGTGTGTGTGTGTGTGGGTCTATTTCTGTGTGCTTTTGTGTTTGTGTGCGTGTGTGCGTCTGTCTTTTTCTGTGTGTGCTTTTGTGTGTGTGTTTGTTTGTGTGTGTGTGTGTGTGTGTGTGTGGCGTTCCTTTTCTTTCAGTAAGAATGGCACGTATGTGAATGGGTCGTTAATTGGGAAAGGTTCACGTGCTGTGCTTCACCCAGGGGATGAGGTGTGCCTTGTGTCTTCGACAAACGGTGAGCGAGTGGTTTTATCTTAACCTAGCACCAGAACATACCAATGGAAATTCGATTTGTTAAAATGGTACTGGTGGGTTCATGCAGTCCCAGCCAGATGTGTGTGGCAGTGAGATGTCCATCGATTCCATTGAGTTTTTTTTGTAATAATCATATATATATACGTTTCCCAGCCATTTTTTTTCCCGGCGCGGCTGTCAACGCGCTGCTAATCGAGAATTTCGTTATTTTGATTTATCGAATCCTTTGGTCCCTGAAGATGGATAGAACCAAAAAAAAAGTAGTAGTAATCCTTGGTGAGAGGGAAGAGAGCATGAAATTTATGAACAAAATTTGCTGGAGAGGACTTTTGCGGCATGTCCTAGCGGAGCTAAATGGCTGGCAGCATCTGCCAAAAAAAAAAAAAAAAAAAAAAAAAAAAACAACGGTTCGTTTCTTTTTGTGGGTGTCCAGGGCATTTCTAGGCTCGGCCAAAAAGAAGACTGATAACTAAATATAAACAGAGAATTAAAATTTCGTTGCCCAGGCTAATCCTTTTCTTTTTTTTTTTTTTCCTCCCTCGCTTTCTTTTGAGCTATTGCGGCTCCGTGCTCTTTATGTCATGGAAGCAATACTGCACAACAACAACCGGAAACACTATATTTGTTCCTCTCTCCTAGTAGGAGGTATTCAGCTCATCGTCGGTGCAAAACAAAAAAAAAAAAAAAAAAAAAAAAGTTGAGGAAGGAAAAAAAAGTTCAAAAGCTAATACTATCGTTGCAAACATCTACCGTCTCCCCCCCGATTAGAACTTTCGGTCATTCTCGCTGTATGTGGACTGAAAGTTGCCCAAAATACAGGCCATTGTTGCAACATAGACTGAGTAAACCGCGACAGGCCTAAATTCGGGGGGACCGGTAGCATTGGTTCAAGCGGGCTACCGGTAGCACAGTGGAGAGAACCAGGGGAGTGGCAAAAATGGAAAATGCGTCGAATTGCCGCTGCGATTGATCTCGTGGCCTAAATGATTTTTTCTATTTTTTTAAATAGTTTTGTGGAAAGAACGCGACCAAATGTACTGACCCTTCAATTTTCAGATTTCTTGACACATTCTTTTGATCGTGAAAAATCGCTGAAGTTGAGGTACTTTTCCCGTTGGCCCACACGTGGTAGAGCGGAAAAAATGGACAATGAGATAAATTGTAGTGGCATTTATTTCATGGTCTAAATGTTTTTGTTTTTTTTTTAAATATTTTTCCTGGCAAGACCACGACAAAATCCACAGGCCCTGCAAATTTCGTGGAAGTTAGGGTACTTTTCGCGTTGGCCCTCACGTGGTAGAGTGGCGAAAATGGAAAATGTGAGGACTCGGCGCGGCATTTATTTCACGGTCCATTTTTTTTTTTTTTTTTCCTACAACATCTCAAATTTTCAGATTTTTTCGTTAATTCGTCTGTGCTCGAAAAACGCCAAAGTTGGCGCTTGAAAATTGCGGGATTGGGCCCGCCTGCACCTGCTGGTCGCCGCCCCCCCTAAGAACCCGGTCCGTAAGGCCAGGCGGGGGGAGTGGTGGTTTAGTGGGTCCGCGTCTCTCTGCCATTGATTTGTGACCCCTCAAGGTGCTCTTACTTCTCGCCCTTTCAGGTATGGTATTTGAATGGATTCACACGGCAAGCTTTCCCAGTCCCGGTTCCCGAGGAGCATAATTATTGCCCCTAATTATTGCAATCCCAGGCCCTACCGGTGGCTGTGTCCTAGGGTCTGCAGGTGTAGGCGTCACAGGTCAGTAGAGTACGGTACCTGTAGGAGCACGTCAAGTCCCCGAAGGTCCAGTTTTGCAGCAGCCTCACAAGAAAGTTGGGAACTTTCCCAAAATAGCAATTTGGCAAGGCAGAGGCGGAAGGAGGTCGGTACCGATTGAAGCAGGCACCCACAGCCCACTGCAACTACATATTTTGGGCTACAGTGCCGAAATGGAGTCAGGTGTTCATTTCACAATTTTGTCGAAGCGGTGATAGAGCTTGTGCGAACTAGCAACCTGGGCGAAGAAGAGCGCTGGAGGAGGAAGACGACAATAAGCCCGACGAGATGAAGGAAGACAACCGGCGGCCATAGCCGCCCACGCTTGACAAGGCACACCGCAGAGGCATTCAGGGTAGATCTAGGACATCAAAGGGAGGCGTAACAGTACCAAGGAGCATCGGGGGATGAACAGTGCAGGGGAGAGAGAGAGAGTAACAGAGTGTGTGTGTGTGTGTGTGTGTGTGTGTGTGTGTGTGTGTGTGTGTGTG